CTTCTAGTTGTTTGTGTAAATTTCAAAGTGTGCCCAGGAGTTCCCCCAAACACTTCAGCAGGGCAAGCATCAAACAACGAAGTAAACCCTAATGAAGCGGTCAAGGGAACTCTAGGGAACACCTTGATAGACTTGAAAGCCATTTTTGTTCATCTTCTCCAACTAGTTCGTAGTATACTCTTGCATTTCTACTTGTTTGTTTGATGTTGTTACAACATTCATTCCTATTTATAACATTGTTTTGCTAAAAAATTCCATGCCAAATGTGAAACTGGGGTTTGAATTAGGATATGGGGTGGCCCTATATTGAATGTGGCTACAAATATGGGTAATATTAAAGTTTGAGAATATATCAGGAAAAAAAGTAATTCCTTCTCTAGATCCTTGTCTTTACACCTCATATTGTACTTTTTTTTTTCCATGTCTTAAAGTTTGGGTGATGGCTTCCCTTGGTAATTATTATACCAAAGTTTTAACTTATGATATTTAAAATTTATTTAATTTAGTAGCTTTTAATTTGTGTAATACTACTTCTGGTCCTTATAACTACTATTTTTTATGATTAATTATTTTCTTTAATTAAACTATTATATACAATTTTTCAGATTTTTTTAAAAATATGTCAAATTTCTCTTAAATACATTTAAAAAATCATATACAAATTCAAATCGTGATTTTTAAATACTTTGACTCTTGTGCGACGGAGGAGTGTGTATATTTTATAAAGATATACTAGATATCTTGTCCAATTTACTTTATGATTGATAAAATAAAAGGTGTCAACAAAAATAATATAACGTTCACAAGTCAATTTTATTTGTGCATGGAATGTTCTCCTTTTATTTTGGTAGCTAAAAGCTTAAACATGTAATTAGATCAGAGAATTTATATTCATATTTGCCTTCACTTGGATAACAATGAAGACCAGGTTCAATATTAAAATCTCAAGCAGTATATTCTTAGCTTTATGATCAGCCTATTGTTTATTCCAAGGAATATTTCTTGTATTCATACTTACTCCTCCGGTCTTATTAAACTTGGTTTAGTAATAGTGACATGTACGTTTTCTAATTTTGTATAGTTAACAAATTTAAGGTTATTCTATGTTGAAACAAAAGGTGTGAATGAAAAATGAAGAGTTGTGACTTTTATGAAGAGTTGTGGTTTTTCTGAAGAGATACGACTTTTCAAATAAAAGTTGTGACTTTTCTGAAGGATTGTGAATTTTCAGAAGGTTGTGCCTTTTCTGAAGGATTGTGATTTTTCAGAAGGTTGTGACTTTTCTGAAGGATTGTGATTTTTCAGAAGGTTGTGACTTTCTGAAGGACTGTGATTTTTCAGAAAGGTTGTGACTTTTCCGAAGGATTGTGATTTTTTCAAAGGGTTGTGACCTTTCGGATAAGGCACAACAAACATTTATTCACACTATCCTTTATTGGCTATAAGTAGAGGGGTTTCCTCTCATTTTTTGTCAATGAAATTTCTGAACTACTTATTATTAATCTTCTGCACAACAAAATCTATTTTTCCAATTCTTAAAAGGTAAAAAGGGTTATAGATGATGCAATGTTTCCTAAGCAAGTGTAAGAAGTCGGATGAGAATTTCTTTTTTCTGACAAAAACTATACAAGTTTTGTGCAAATTTAAAAGTCCAGCGTAATAAACAAAAAAACTATACAAGTTTTGTACAAATTTAAAAGTCCAGCGTAATAAACAAAATTAACTATAACATCTCAACTGGATTAGTTCTATACAAATAATTATTCCTCTGCTTATGCCTCAGGGACTCCATTTGTATGAGATCAAGTTTGTAAGGTCTGATGGCTATCGATGGTAGGTGAGCCTGTGCAAAAAAAAATAAAATCCTCATTTATAATACTCCATTTTGTCAAGGCATATACAACTTGGTTGGCCTCCCAGTAACAATGTCTAACCTCACAAGTAATAGTACTTGAAATATTTTGAATACGTGTAATGATAATCTTCATTTGCCAAGGGATATTGTATTGAAGTCGGATGAGAATATTATTGTAACATCTCACAATTTAAAATAACTAGGAAGAAGCTAATAATTCGAAATAGTCATTTTTGGAAAGAATGAAAAACTGGAAATTTGTTTAAGTTAGGAAACGTTGAGTTTTGGTCAACTTCAAACGGCTATAACTCCTAGCTCAAGATGAGTTAGGTGTACTTCCAGACATGGTTGGAAAGCTCTTGGAATGATCTTTCCAACGCCTCCGAGTTTGTGCGATTCCGAGTTTGTATGAATAAGTTATCCCCTTTGGAAGTTGGGCTAGTGGATTAAGGAAAGTCTAATCCGGATTTTTGAAGGTTAATTTAGTCTTTTCCTTACCTAATTATTCTAATTCGTTTTTAGGAGTTTAATTGGGATAAATTCAGATTTTAGTCTGTTTTAGAAAAGTGAATTTTCACGCTAGGGCTTGGAGAAGAGGAGAAAAGAGGAGAAAGGAGAAGAACGTTCAAGGTTAGTCGATTTTGTCAAGGATAGCTTGTGGAATTCGTCGGGAGTGATCCCTACAAGGTATGTGAGATCACATAGCGTTGGGTTAGTTCACCCACACGCCCCAATCATAATTCAATTCAACAAAATATGTGTGATTTGAAAGTAAATCCTTCGAGTTCTTGATGAAATTCGTTTGAATTCTTGTGGGTTGTTTTGTTGAAGTTTCTTGCAATTTGATTCATGTTTCCAGGTGCAATTTCGGTTTGAATCTATCATATATTGAGGGTATAAATGATCCTAAGTGTTTGGGGAAAGAACCAATGAAGTTTAGACGGTTTAGAGTTGAAAAACAGAGAAGAAAAGACGTCAAACACCTGGGGAAGGTGGTGGGGCGTCGCGCCAGCCAGCGCGCCCCAAAGCAGTCCCTGAATGTGGGGCTCTGTGGAGACGCGCCATTCAGAGCGCCCCAACTTGGTCCTTGAATCTCAAGGGCTGGCACCCCGCGCCTCTCAGAGCGCCAGGGACACCGGTTCTTCCCATTCTTCCCCCATCTTTTCGTACTTGTTCCTTAGCAATGTACCTATGTTTTCTACTTGATTCCAACACTCTAAGGTACATCTAAACATGATGAAATCATCCATAAACATGAGATCATGAACCTTGAATCCATAATCCAATTCAAGGAAAGTTAAGATCAAAGTCAAGAAAAGTAAGAGTCAAGTTAAGAGAAGTTCTTAGAGTTTTCCAAAAGTCTTTTCCAAATGTTTTAACTTTGTTTTAAGACTTAAAGTTCAAGTTGAGTAAAGAGTAAAGAGTAAAGTTTGAAGTTTATTTCTTCAAAGGTATATGGGGACTATGTATTCCCAAAGGGTTTTAAATGTTTTTTTTCACATTTAAATAAGAACGGAAGCTGAGATTTCCAAAGAGTCTTCGGGCTAGTTTTTTAGAAAAGAGTAATAGCTTTCTAAATGAAGGAAGAAAGGAAACTGAGATTTCCAAGATATCCTTTGAGCTAAGTTTTTGAGCACTAATCTCAAATTACAGATGAAATATGTTTTTTTTTTTAAATATAAGAGCTAGTATATTTTGGGAGTAGTATTGAGCACCAAATTGGGGGCGAGCATGAGTTCAGATAACTCATATCTCCATAAAATCATGTAGCCACCATGGGTAGAAAATGGTCATACTTTTTAGATGAACCCTTTTCACAATAGACTAGTGGATCCATTTAGTAGTTCAGGTCCTATACCTCTGGCCGGGTATAGGATGCGCTGGCAGCGTGAGGTAGATCGATGTATCATCCCTATAGCTCTTATGTGATGGCTGTCGGTTAGAGAAACTCCCACATAAGTTATTGTATTTTTATATACATCAGTTTATTGTATTTTTACATACATTTCAGAGTTATGTTGTATCCTTGTATATACACAGAGTTGACATCATGTTTTTAAATAGCTTTTCTTTATATTGCACTTGTTTTAAACTTCTTTATATTGAAATAAGTTCAGTTAAGTATTCATGAGTTGAGAAGAGCCAAGGTAAGTGTTTCTTTCAGGTTCCCTTTCCAGCCTATGTTATTTTATCATTCCAACTTGCATCCTCGTACATTCAATGTCCTGATGCCAGTTGGCCTGCATCGTCGTATGATGCAGACACATGTAACTAGGATTGGCATTCCAACACACCGTTGATCCAGTGAGCAGTTCAGAGTCAGTCGGTGGGCCTCCTAGCATTCCGGAGGATCTATTTTCATTGCTTTCTAGTTAGTTCATTAGGATTTTGTTGGGTTGTCCCAACATCCATCTCAGTTGTTTTAGAGGCTTCATAGACAGTCAAATGTTAGTCCTTTGAGTCTTTTCATTATCATTTCTTATTGTTAAGACTTGGGTTGCCACTTTTGGCCAAGTTGAATGTTTTAACCTTTAAACATTCTCAATTATTTTATTATTTGGTTCAGTTAAGTGTTATTAATCATTATGAGTATGAATATTGTCTTCCGCTGAGTTAAGTAAGCCAGGCCAAGGGTTCGCTTGGGGCCAACAATGGTTTTCGAGTGGCAGTCCCGCCCAGGGTCTAGGCTCGGGGCGTAACAATTATGAAACTGACTATATTGTACTTAATTATCACTCGTTCTTATTATCAAATGATGATAATCACTTTATTAACAAGAATTATTTTGGGCTAGTTGACAATGGCGTTTAGCAAACAATTTTTGGGGGTAGAATGGTCTTTAAGACTTCATTAAAGTTGAAAAGTGACCAATAGACTCAACACTTAAGTCGTCATGAAGCAGTCAAGGAAACTCTAGGAATCACCTTGATAGATAAATATGCAAACCATTATGCTCATCATCTCTAGCTAGTATTCCTATTTCTACTAGTTTATGTAATTTTCAAAGTGAACTCGGGAGTTCCCCAAACACTTCAGCAGGGCTTCAAACAACAAAGTAAGCCCCCACGAAGCAGTCAAGAAAACTCTAGGAAACACCACCTTGATAGATTATACGTGAATCATTGTATTCATCATTTTTATCTAGTACTCTTGCACTTCTACTTGTTTGTGTAATTTTCAAAGTGAACCTGGGAGTTTCCCCAAACACTTTAGCAGGGCTTCAAACAACAATGTAAGAACTCATAAAGTGGTCAAGGGAATTCTAGGGAACACCTTGATAGATTATACGTGAACCGTTGTGTTCATCATCTACAACCAGTACTCTTCCACTTCTATTCATTTATGTGAATTTCAAAGTGAGCCCGAGAGTTCCCCCAAACACTTCAGCAGGGCATCAAACAATGAAGTAAACCCTAATGAAGCGGTCAAGATAACTCTAGGGAACACCTTGATCGACTTAAAAATTATTTGTGTTCATCATCTCCAACTAGCTAGTAGTCTCTTGCACTTCTACTTGTTTGTGTAATGTTGTGACAACATACATTCCTGTTTATAACATTGATTTACTAAGAAAATTACATGCAAAATGTGAAAGTGGGGTTTGAACTGAGTATGGGGCATTTATGTGGTCAAATAAATGAAAGAATATTCTAGCAAAATATATCCTAGCTTAAAAATCTTTCGATTGGGGATTTTAATGAATTAGTGAAGTTACAAATTTTGAATTGATTCGAGCATTGTGGGGAAAAAGTGTTGTGTGAATTTTGTTTTTTTAAGTTCTTATAATTTGCATTTTTCCTTTAATTTTTTTTTCCTATTGAAGGTGCAATGACTTTTGCAATTCTAGATCTTATAAATTTTGATCTATACATTATTTTTCCAGATTAGAAATGAACGTAAATGACCATCGTTATGATATAATAGTAGTTAATTTTGAAGAGATGATTGTTTTGTTATAAAATTATTTTGGCTAATGATAGATACAAGCATTGACAAGTACAATGATTATTTGTACAAGAAACATGTGATTTTAATGAAGGGGGAAATTAACGGATATTATTATTTTACACTTTCGAACAGAAGAAATTATAGAGATGTTGATAAAGATTCTAGCGGGATGATTATATGCTTCCTCACAAATAAAATAATGTAGATGATGAGGAAGATGGCGATGATGATGGTGATCCAAATTATGTGCCTCCTAACAAAAATAATGATGAAAACAACACGGCTGAGAACGCTGATGATGACGGTGATGACAATGATAATAACAATGAAGGAGATCTAGGAGATGATTATGTGCTTTATCATCATTATCATCATCTCTAGAATCTCTATCATTGTTATCATCATCTTCATCATCATCGTTATCGTCCACGCCATCATCCTCATCATTTCCAGTGTTATTTTTGTTAAGACATATAATCAGAATCACCAACATCGTCATTAACGTCATCATCCTCTTCATTATTATCTTTGTTAAGAACTATGTAATCATTTTGCTAGAACCTCGATCACTTTCCACTATTCCTTTGGTTAGGAGACGTAAAATCATTTTCATAGTATTCATCATGATATTTCTAAATAAATAAAATTTGTAGTACTGAACAAGTTTAATTTTAACAATGGATCTATGTGATATATATATACATTTTTTTCTATGTACTCATTATTTCCATGTAATACTGATGTGGCCTAAGAACCACTTGTCATAAAATTACTTGCCTTATTATTAGTCTTATTTAAAGTTATTTACTGTATTTTAACTAAGTAATATTAGTTTGCTATCAAAGTAATAAATATAAATCTGATCAAATCATTAGAAGTCAAATCATAAAAATCATTATTTGACTAAGAGTTATGGTGTGTAGAATATGCTTTTCATTACCTAATTTATTTTTTCTATTAAAAAAAAGTGCAGGGCGAGATCTCATTATGTAATTCAATCCTTTAAATTTTTCAATAAATTTCATTTAGACACTTTAAATTATTATTTATTATAATTGAGCACATAAATACATAATAAAATATTTATATTAATAAAATATTCATCATCAAATATATATATATACATATATATATTATGATAAGTGAAAAGATCTTAACTTCAAAATTGAATTACGATTTTACCCCTTCACTAAATTTAAATATTATTAATAAACTAATTAATAAATTTTAAATAATAATTATATGGTATTAATGCATTATATTTCTAGGTAAAATTTATTCCCGAAACATTTAATATGTTTTCATTCTAAAGTGGAGTTTGGTAGATGAAGTGTTTCGTAACAACAAAAGGCAGTAAATTATATCCTTTAAAAACTAAAATATCCTTTAACATTAATGAACAAAAATGTCCTTTGAATTACCATACATCTTAATATGGCACACATATATAGATTTTAGTTAGAAACTTTACATATCCCAACTTTAACAAATCGAATTCTCATAGATGTTATGTATATCATCAATTTTTTTTATGACTTTTATAATTCCTGACTTATTATATACATATCAAAAAGTTTTTTTCAAAATCACTTTATATTAATGCACATACTTAGTTATTCAGATGTATAATTGTTGATGGATGATTATTGGTGGATGTAATTACATTGCTCATCACAGACACTTTATGTTAATGCATACACTTTGTTATTCAAATGTATAATTGTTAATAGATTTAATTGCTCATCACATATGCAATAAAAAATAGGTAAATCTATTTATGCTTTGTTAGTTATTGCGGAAGTTCCTCCTTTCTTTTACACTGGAAATGTTTATCTCTTTAATTTTTGTTATTTAAAAGTTTTAGAATTTATTAGCTATTTTATTGTTTTTAGTCTACTCTATTTCATCTTATTTTTGAATATTTGTCAAATGAACATAATGTACATCTGAAGTTGTATAATTTATTGTGATGCTATAATAATGTAATGAATATTGATAATTTTTTTATATATTCTCTTCAAACATTATGTGAGATCTTCACAACTAATAACTCAAGTGAAATTTACAATTTCTTAAAACTATTTGATATGATTGTCAGATTGTCTATTTGATGTTAAGCTTTAATTTGGTGTTACACACCTTCTCTTTTGAGTTTTGATTACTTAATTTTATGAATAACTATTCATACATATTGTAATTGTATTTAAATCACAATACACATATATTTTCTATTCTGAAATTCATTTTTTTAATTATATAAAAATCTGGTTGTAATTACCTAGGACAAACGTGCAACACACATTCCAAAAACTAGTATTAATAAATAATCCTCTTAGAGTTTCACTAGCTATAAAAGAAAGAGATATCTATATTTCCTTTTCATCTATAACGCAACCCGAAATTTAATAAAAATATAACAAAGTTCTAAAAGCTACTGAAAATTAATATATAGATGAAACCATATAAAAATAGTTTCTTCTAACCTATAATAAACTATAAAAATACATTTTTTCATAAAAGACATATTTTTTTTAAAAAAAATAGCAGATAAAAAGAACAGAATCTGTAAATATTTCAATTTCTTTTTTTCCCCAAGATTAAGCATTCTTTTTTTTTTTGAAACCCTAGGATAACCTAGACCCGACTTTGAAGGCATTGAGGGGGGAGTCTATCCCGAGTCATCCATGCATGTGGATAACTACCCTTCGAACCAACTTAGTCATTTTGATGGACAATATTTAAACTATAGATACATGATTTTTTTTTTGTAATATTCTTACTTATTAAAAAAAATTATTTAATGACAATGACAGTATTGATCCATCATGAGCAATCAATAATTATAAATTTAACTTCATTCACTTTCTTCTAAGACACCTACAACAACTAAAAAATAAATATTTTTTCATGATAAATTAATGAAATTTTGTACTATAATAATATATGGATTTTTCATTTAACCAGCTTACTAGAAAAATGCAAGGTGAAAAAAAGATTGTCACTGGACTATTGGAAAGTTTGTTATTTTTTTGTATGAAAATACTATTATTTTTTATTTTCTCACGATTTAATAAAAATATTTATAAATATAGCCACTAAATATTTTCCTGTGGAAATTTCACTAAAAAATAATAATTTTTATTAGTATATTTAATTGAAAGCAAAAAAGTTCAAAACATTTTCATTAACTATTTATATATCATTACATCCTATTACAATTGGGGGCATTTTTTTTAAACTGAAGTATGTGAAATCAATAAGATTGGCCGATAACAAAATATAGAAGAGATAAAATACTAAAGTACACCATAAGAAATAAATCATTTAAAAAATAAAGTTCTTTTTTTAGAGTGTATATGATTCTTAACCCAATTTGAACGATAAGTTGTCATGATTGCAAAATTTAATTCCTTTTTTATTAGGAATAGATAGCAATTTCAAATCTAGTTGAAATTTTAATACAAGCCCAAGTAAGAATCATTAAGACATAATTGAAGAAAATTAATTATATTAGGTAGATGGTTAAGCTTACTCAATAGTTATCTAAAATTTAGTATTTTTTCAATTTTAGTTTGTTATCTAATTTTTTTGACACCAAGTTTAACAAAATAAAGGAACTATCTAGCCAATTGGGTAATTAATCAGTGTTGTGCAATTTTTATTTTCGAAATTCTTATAATCTACATTTTTTTTTCCTATTGAAGGTGCAATGACTTTAACAATTCTAGATCTTATAGATTTTGAGCTATAATTTATTTTCTAAATTAAAAATAGAGTAAATGACTAGAGTTCTGAATAATAATAGTTAATTTTATAGAGATAATTATATTTTTTATAAAATTATTTTGACTAGTGATATAAATACAACCAATTGATGAAAGTTATACTGATTATTTGTACAAGAAGCATGATGATTTTGTGATGAGAAAGATTAATAGATATTATTACTTTACACATTCGAATAGAAGAAATGATAAAGGTTTTAGGGGATGATTATATGCCACCTCACAAAGGAAATAATGTAGGTAATGATGAAGATGATACCGATAATGGAGATCCTGATTTTTTGCGTCCTAAAAAAAAAATATGGATGATGGCGATAATGACGATGATGGGGAAGATGATAATAACAATGATGGAAATTTAGGAGATGATTATGTGTTTTCATCATCATAATCATCATTTCTAGAATCTCCGTCATCGTTATTATCACCACAACCATCATTATCATCATCGGCAT